CTGATGGAAAATAAATACCAACAAGTATTAAAAATGTTGTTAATTCTTGTGCAACAACTTCAAATGTTGGATCACCTTTTATGTCACGTTCAATTTCACCTTCAGCACGATAATGTGAAAAAAGATTTTCTATAAAACTAAATTCTTTATTCTGTATTTAATAAAAAAAAAAACAAGAACGAAATAAACGTACCGGATAATTGCCACTGTTTTAATCCGGGTACACCTTGTGCAACTCGAACATCATTTATACGATCATTTGGTGAACATAATGTATTTGTTGATTTATTACATATAGATGCGTAAAGTGGACATAATACAGTTTCATTACCTTCTGTACACCATTTATCTTCAATACAATAACGACCTACATCATTATTTAATACATTGGATTTTATTAAATGACTTGGATTTGAACCAACAAGACAAATACTTTGAAAGAAGAAAAGAAAAACAAAGAGAAGAAATTGATATTTTATTTTGTAAAAAAAGAAGTAATTCAATTTACAGTAAATCCGGTGGGCTAAATGAACTTTTTATAACACCAGCATATATAGACAATATAGATATAACAACAGCAAATAATGATAATGGAGCAATTCTTGTTACAAATCGAATACCAATTAAAACGCATGTTCCAATAATTAGAAGAAGTATAGTACCATATATACGATAATGATTAAATGCTACTATTGGTTTTTCAACATCATCACCAAAAAGACGACATTTTTCTGGACACATATATTTCTTTGAAAACAAAAAAATACAACTTTAGAAAAAAAAATCTATCGATTAAATTTTGACATACGACAACGATTTCAACAGCTCCAACAATATACATTGAAGCAGCAAATGTATTACCAAGATAAAATAATATACCAACGGCACCACCAAATTCAGGTCCAAGTGAACGAGATATCATAAAATAAGCTCCACCAGCTGGTACTATACCATTTGTAGCAATAGCTGCCATTGAAATAGCTGTTAGAAGAGTCTGAATAGAAAAATAAAAGAATTTACAAAAAAAAGAAACAATAATTCCTATAAAAAGAATTTCATACACAAGAACTACAAATAACAACAATTAAAAGTGTTTGAAGTGCACCAGCAATACCAATTAACCAAAAAAGACGAATAAATACAATAACACCTAGAAAAAGAAAAATAATATCAAATGAACTTTATAAATTTAAAAAATATATATTACCGAATATATTTTGAACGCATGGAAGGTAAACACCAAATATTGTACCAAGATTTGCTGATTTCTAGGATAATAGAATTTTATATTTGCTTTTTCTTTGTTCTTTTTTACTTCAAACAAACCTGTTGAGTCCCTGTTGGTTTTTCAGCTTCTGCTGCATTTGGTACAATACCACCTCTATAATTATATAATTGATCAAGTACCGTTCGTGGTCGATGATCACGTTCCTTCAAATTTTGATTATGTTTTTTTTTTTTCGTAATAAAAAACAAAATTTTTTTTTACATACTTCATAAATACTTTCATTTAATTTAATAGAACATTGAGGTGTTTGTAATGGTAGTTTTTCATTTTCAGTTGTTGAATTTATATTATGAATTGCCTCTTAAAATAATTCTTCTTTTTTTTTTCACATACATATATATTAAATATTTTTAATTTACCATTTTCATTTGTATCCGTTACTTCAGATGATTTAATAATAACAAACCGCCCACTTTTTTCAGTAGATGATACTGAACCTATGACAAAAAAAAAGTACATGAATTATAGGTTTTTTTTTGTCTTTGAATAAGATCGTTGTCTGCTCACTCATTACGCCTAATCACTCTGTGTTATTTTACTTTCAACACTTCAAATGAAAACATTTTGATCCTTTTTTGCTACGTTTTTTTTTTACGGTTATAAAAACTATTAAAGAGCAAATAATTGAATATGACATTTCTTTCTCTTATTAGATCAAAAATAAAACATATACTTCAACAATACACACGAAAGAGCAATTAAGAATATATGGTAGAGTTCTTATCTTCATCCAACAATTATAGAAAAACGTTTTTTTTTTTTTCTTGGATACAAACCATGTCGAGATGTAGATGATAAATCATCTTGATTTGTGCTATTTTGCTGCTCCGAAAAATTTTGATTATTATCATTAAATTTGACATGATAGGGTGATCGATTTGATGGATTAACTGTTTGTTCTTCTTGTTGTTGTTGTTCGTTTCCTTCATTCACTGTTGCCATAATTCTAAGTAAGACATAAATAATTTATTTATCCGAAGAAAAAGAAAAAGAAAATAAACAGGCAAGAATCTTATTTCCTATTCTATTTGCCCTTTTTTTTTTCTCTCTCTCTCTCACTCTCTTTTTCTTCATCCACCTGATTACCAAATAGCAAAAATGTATTGATTATAGAAGCTGTAGTAATCGTAGAAGATATATGAATAATAATGACAGCAGTATCGTTTCTTTAATGCTCCCTTATAATCTAGTTGGACTTGTTGCGTTCTTGAGATTTTTTTTCCTTCTTTACTCGTCGTTTGTCGTTCTGAAGTAATTCGTTGTTATTGCGGATGCTATGTTAATCTTGAATAGATTCTTAGTAATGGTTGAATCATAGAGAAACATAAAACTATATAATGAAAGGCGAATACGAAAATAACTTGATTGTTTCCCATCTAAAATATAAGAGAGAAAAATAGAAAACATATCATTTATTTCACGTATTTCTATTATTTATTAATCTTTCAAGACATAAATATAACTAATAAGAATGTCGTATTCTTACTAATGACATACACGCAAAACAAAAAAAAAATAACACCATCATAGAAGATGTCGTATACGAACTTGTTTTGCCTATAGCAATAAGCATGTGTTTTACAGAGCAATGTGAATAAATGCATTACTGACAATGGTAATTTTCAGTCTACACTCTAACGTTCAAAATCGTGTGTGTGTGGGTGTGTGTGTCTTTTTTCTTTTTACATCCGCATCGTTTCTCTCTTTTTTTTTCTTTTGGATATTACTATCTTGTTTCTGTGACATCTACACATGATGCGTTGCTTTTTTCTTTCTGATTTTCAAGAAGAATTGAGTTGCTATCATAAACAAAAAAAATAACAAATACATCCTTGACAACAATAAAACAAAGTTTGACATATTTCTTAATAGTGATCTATTTGAACGACAGACAAAAAAAAAATACCTGATTAAGAATTTATTGTTAAGTTTTTTTTTTCTCTTTCAATCTCTTAGTACAATTAGCTATTCATTCGTCTTTTGAGTACTGTTTGATAGAATTATATTTGTCTCGGGAAAAAAACGATTCCATTCGGAAGAATATATATATATATATAAACAAGCATCTTTCCGACTCAAACTCATCTTAAACATGATTAAATAAAATAATTGATTTTCCTATCAAATTCTTTTCTTTTTTTTCTCATTTCTGGTTTCATGCCTCGTAAGAAAAATCTTTCGCTCGATGTGCTCAATAATACGACCAAGTGGAATTCTATACAAAAATTAGTAGTTAATCATAAGATTAAAAAAAAAGAAAGAAAGAAAGGTTACTTCATTCTTCTAATTTTTATGTCACTAATACCTATTATCTATATATAGACGGTTAATTTCCGAAACCTTTCTTTCAAAATGTCTTTTGTTGCTATTTTTATTTTTGATTTATTGATCGTGTCATATACATCCGAATATACCTGTTTTTTTCCTTCATTTAGGTTTTTTTTCACTAGATTAATACATAAAAATAAAAACTAACAGAATATACATGATTGGTAGATTTTTTTTTATATGTATGTGGATGGTTATCTATGCTCAAGTCACGATTGCATACGGCGATGGTAATAATTATCTTTTTTTTATGAGTTCGTGCTACCTCAACAACAAAAACATCAAGAATAACAATAAACAGAAGGGCATATTATATCTATGTACAAATATAATTGTCAAAATATATATATTGCTATTAAGTCGATCGAAGGGAGAAAGTCCAATACTCAGCATTATCTGTAAATATTAGTCTTTGTAAATACATGTGCGATTGTGTCGAGATCGCAACTCTAAACAATTGATTTTCTTGATTTCCTATGCAGGAAACAACTCAAAGGGTACTGTCAAATTAGTACTCGATTGCAATGCAACACAACAACCAAAAGACAAGAAAAAGAAAACTAATAAAAGCAATAGCATATTTCTTCTTACTCTTTCAAATATAAACTTCAATTGTAGTCTGATAAAGAACAGCCTCATGTTCCTATTACCAGAGAATGTTGTTCGCACTTATTTTTTTTTTTTTTTGGCTGTTCTCCTATCTATTTTTACTCTAACTCTCTACATTGTTGTGTTTATGTTTGATAGTCTGAATACTATTAGTATATAAGCAAGATTATTATCTAAGAACATAAGGATCATAGGCATTCTTCCTGTTTTTCATAGGCTAGTATGACATCGAATTAATCCTAAGGTCACATTTTATTAATCGGTATCATATAATTATATAGGTTTTTTTTCTTGGCCAATACATCATAATGAAAAAAAAAGATGTGCTAAAGCCAATCAATATTTATTTTAGCTTATATTCTAATTTAATAACAATGTTTTGCCTCAACAAAAGAAAAAAATATATTATATTGCAAAAGAAAATGATTTAGTAATATAAATGCATTGAAAACAGTACTACTATTTTGATTGTCTCTCTCTTTTCAATTATTAATTTGATATAATCTTTCCTTTCTTTTTTTTTTTTTGTTTGGTCTAAAAATAGTTCCTATTCATTAATGCTTCAAGAATTCATATCATATTACAAGAAACTCAAACATTAATTAATGTATCTTGAATATAATTGATTTTTTCATAATAAAAAGAGGTCGCTTATGATCATATAAAACGAAGTCCATTGCTTAACGACCATGTTTACCAATGTTTTTCACATGCATATAACACAAAAAAAAGCCACTTTACTCGACAACAGTATCAATTCTTTCATTGATCAAACATGGCGTTACCATTTTTGCCTGGCAACACATTTGAACGAAAAGTAATTATCATTTTTTTTAATTCGAAAAAAGAAAATAATTAATTAAATATTCTTTTTCTTTTTATTTTCGTTAAGATTGGCAAAGATAAATTTCATTTAACACATCAATTTGATAAATACAATGGTGTAGGTATGTTAACAGGTAATAAATTGGGTGTTGGTGGTGTACCATTAGCAGGTGAAGATCTTCGACCGAAAAATTCTGTTTATCCACGAGGTAAGAAGAAAAAAAAAGAAACGATAGATAAACTTAATGATTATGAAAATTTGTTTCTAGGTGAAGGACCTGATCGACCAGCTTGGCTTGCTTTTGATAAACAAGTTCTTTGTTTTGATGCTTATTTTCAAGAATCAATAACTGAACGTCCAGAAGAACAATATCGTATTCGAAAATGTCGAGTTTATTTTTATCCAGAAGATGACACAGTTCAAGGTCTACTAATACAATTATTTTATAATATGAGCATTATTTTTTTGTGTTTTTAGTTGTTGAACAACGTCAAAATAATGTTGGTTTCCCTCAGGGTACAATTCTTAAACGTCATCGTGTACCATTACCAGCACCAAATGATGATCGATTTTATACATATGATCAATTTAATGTTGGAGCTGAAGTATCATTATATGGACGTGTATACAAATTAATTGATTGTGATCCATTTACACGAAATTTTTTAACAAAACTTGGTGTACGTGTACCACCAGGTATGACATAAGAGTATTGAATAATTTATTCAAAAAAAAAAACAAAAATTTATGCTTAGGTTTTTCGGCACCGGAAGATCCATTTCTTAAACATCGTCAAGTAGTAAGTCATTTTCTTATTTGCGTCATAAAAAATGCTTAATTTAACTTAGTTTGATTGCTTTTTTACTTGACTGCAGTTGTCTTCTGAAATGTTTTGGATAACTACCTAGATAATATACGTTCTTGACAGCAATAATCTCCTTACATTATCAATTTTTTTGTTGCATAGCGTAAAAAACGAGGCAGTTCTCTACAAAGTAAGATAATCATCGAAAGCCTCGCAGCAGTATGTTTCAGAAGAAAAAAAAACCAAGGTCATGAAATAAACGAGTCTTTTACTAAACGTTTATTATTTAATAGAAACATCACAAAAAAAACTAATGATTAGAATATAATTTTCTTCAGAAATGTTTGGTCTTTCTTTTAGCATATATATATATATCGGGAAAGAGCACAAAATTTTGATTCTAACTCAATATTTTAATTTTTTTTCCAAGAAATTTTCATACTACTCATTAATACGAGTTAATAATTACTATGAAATACATTGTATGTTTTGCTAAATTTCAAGCTTAGAATCATCATCAGCTGGATAGGATAAAATCAGGATCATTCAAAATTATTTTATATAAATATCATAGTCTTTCTTTGACTTGATTTCTTTTTTAATACTTAAAATTATTTGATATTTTTCGATAATCTCTATTTTGTAATTTCAACAAATATTCCATTAACTTTTATCTCAAAAATATTTTCAATTTATTAGGCTGAAGGTACTCAAAATCCACTTCGTCCATATGAAAGAATTGATACATTAAAACAATTTATTAATCATGATACACATGTCTTACGTTTTTGGGGTGTTTGGGATGATACAGAAAGTTTATATGGTGATGCACGAAATTTTGTTATACATTATTTTCTTGCAGGTAACAAATGAAAAGAATAAAAACGACATAACAAGATTTATATTGAAATTTGTTTTTTTTTTGTCGATTATCTATAGATGATACGATGGAAATTCGTGAAGTTCTTCCACCAAATTCTGGTCGTGATGCACCACCAACATATCTTGCTCGAAATAAATTACCGAAAGATTTTAATGGATTACGTTTGCCGGGGGAAAATGCTCAACGTACAGTACTTAATGTATTTGGACAATTAAATAAACAACGTTGGATTCTTGATAATCTTAAAGTAAATAAAACAGGCACAAAAAAAAAGAAATAACAAAACAATTAATTTTGATTTTTAAATTCTATAGACAGGTGCTACTGATCAAAAGTATTATACTGATCAAGATTTAGCTATTGGCCAATTGATAAATGTCTATGGACGTAAAGTCTTATTAACTGATTGTGATGAATTTACAAAAAATTATTATCGTACAAAATATGGTGTACAAGATTTTACACCAATTAATTATAAAAAAGATAATGATTATAATCTATTAAGACAAACTTATCCATGTAAGAATATATAGATTGAATAACAAGAAAAAAAAGAAAAAACTTATATGTGATTTATGTATAGACACGGGCTTTGGTTCAGAAGAAGATTCATTAAATTCAACGAAAAAATTGCTTCCAGAACCAGTTAAAAAAGATTTTAATAAATTTATGGGATTTGATCGGTAAGTAAATTGTTTCAGCATACTATCGAACGAGTGATAGATCATAATGACTTATCCATGGAGAGGTTTGAATGCAATGTCGAACAACATAATCATTCAAATTGATTTTCATGTTCATCATTGACTATAAAGTTTCAATTGAAATTTATTATTTATCTTTATTCCTTTTCAGTCAAGGCCTTGAAAGTAATGTTCTTCGTTTTATGGCTAAAATAATAACAAAAGATCCAATACAAGCTGAACGACATTTTATTATATCATATTTTCTTGCCGATGATACTATTAATATTCATGAACCGCCAACAAGAAATTCTGGTAATAAAAAAACAAAAAACCTGTATATTAACAATCGAATTTTTAATTTCCTTATTTTTATATAGGTATTGATGGTGGTAAATTTCTTGAACGTCAAAAAGTGAAAAGACCCAATCAACCACGATATCCACTTGAAATATCTGAATATTTTAATGGAACAGATTTTTATGTTGGAGCTCGAGTAATAATAAATGGTTTTGATTTTTATATATATGATGCTGATGAATATGCATTTAAATTAATGGAAAAAGAATCATATCTTTTTCCTGTTTCAAATCAACGATTAATTTTAGAAAAATTACGACAATTTTTAACAAATAATTCTGATAGTGTTGAACAATTTGAAAAACATGATCCTCAACATAAAGGTTATTTTGGTTATGAAACATTTTATTATTTAATGAAAAATCTTGTTGGACATATTTTGGTTGATCATGAAATAATAACACTTGCACGATATTATGCACAGAAAAATTTTAAAGAACATGATATTTATTCAGTTGTTGCTATTGCTCAAGAACATTTAAGAAAACATAATTATGAACATTTATTACCATTAAAAGAAAATTTAATTAAACGAGATCGAAAGTAAATTTTGATTTACTTGACTTTTCTTTTTTTTTTTTTTTTTACAAATTATTATCATTTAGTCGAAATGGTCGATTACCTGCTGAAGAAGTTCGTATTGCTATACGTTCTGTTCATGTTCCATTACCTGATTATCTTTTAAATACACTTATTAATCGGTGAATTTTATTGAACATTATAATTCAATATTTTTATTTTATTTTATTTTATTTTTTGATTATAGTATGACTCAAGAAGATGGTTGTATTGAATATAATGATGTACTTAGTGCCTTAAATTGGCGTGAATTACCTGTTTCAAAACCTACGCCAACAAGTGAACATGAACAAGATGATTTTACTTCAACACGTCATACAGATGATCCAACAATGTTAGATAAAACAACACATGAACGTAAAAAATTTAATGTTGAATATACAACTATGCTTCAAGATCTTGGTTTAAATATGTCACATCCATTATCAACATTAGGTACATCAAGCAATTGTGATGAATGTAAAAAATAATTACTATTGACAATAGAAGAATTATCAATACATATACTATAGGAACTCATAATATTTACTCATAATATGATTTTTCTTTTTCCAATTTTTATTTTCAACAAATAAATAAAAGAAGTGCTTCTGACACACAAAAAAAGAAATTATTAGAACAATAATTAAATTTTGATGTTTAGTAAATCACTCCTCTAGAACGATCTATGTAAAAGACGTAGTAAAAGTTCTAGAATTTCTATTATGTCTAGACAATATCAGTTTTTCGAGCAAAGCTTTTCAGATATTATGAAATTAGTTTTCGTCAAGTGCCGTCTGCATTATAAAAAAATGTTTTTCCACACGTTGAATAATCATGATGAAGAATACTCTTTAGAAATCATTTTCATTTTTCATCGACGACTGAGATCATAGTCACTATGTACTCTGTTATCGTCACTTTGTCTAGGAATAGGTGCTTGAACATCATTACAGATTAACAAATTCATATGTCTTCTATTCGTAATGTGTAGATGTATTAGTCTTCTCTTCGATAGCAGAAGTGCTACTATTCTTTATGATATTGAGATTTTGGATGTATACGTATGACATAAATTCTGATTGCAAGTATCCATCCGCTTTCCATCAGTTCACATGTATTAGAATTATGATTAAAACATCATCTGATCTCAATTATGTTGGCCCTCATTCAAAAGCTTAATGTTGTAGCTATTTCTTGTTCGTATTTGATTTGAAATTTCTTTAAAAATAACTGAGATATTGTCTTCTCATCAAAACTGTCTGTTCATCTATTGAATGAATCTAATAAAAGATCATCATTTACAATATTCAAATCAAACGAAAATAAAAATTTGGAATAGAGAGTCTCATTAAGAGATATCAGATGCGTTTTGAATGCTTCTTAAAACTGTCTAGTAAATAACAACTATAGATTGAAAAAAGAACTTTAGTCATTACTTCCATTATTTGATAATTACTTCAAAAATAAACCAAAGTTTGAAATATAATAAGACTTTAGCTTCGAGTTGAACAAGAATAATTTAAGCGTCTGCTCACAAGTTGAAAAAGATCTGGTCTTGCCACTAAATATTACTGTATATATTCGCAAGGCAGAAAAATCAAATGATTAAAAACAGGATATTGGTTATTGCCCACGTTTTGAAAGGCATTTCAAAGTTCTTTCTTTTTTAATCGAACCGATGATTAAACATGGTTAATTATTAAATCTTAATTTCAAAATAACACTTGACTCACTCTTCTAGTTTTTGGTCAAGTTTAATCGAGATAAAATTCAAGTTGATGATTTCAAACTTCAGAAATAAACAGATTTTGCAGGAATTTGTCAGAAAAATGTGGGAGAATACCCATATCTCGAACTGAAACTTTGACGCAATATTCCGAACCAGGATGTCTTTGGAACTGTTCAGTCACGTTTTCGTCTGAAAAAGACAAAATGTTGGTGAAAAATCTCAATGTATTCCTATCTATTTCTTGCCAGAACTGGTCGGTAAGCTTTCACTTGGAAACTTGTGAAGTGTCTTTGCAAGTTATCAATTCCGTTTGGATTCAGTTATAGAATACTTTATATAACTATCGACATCTATTGTTAAACTCTTAAGTCAAGTATACAGCATAAAAATCAAGATTATAAATTATTCAATTGTTTTAATGAAGTTATCCTATAATAAAACATTTTTTATTTACATATAAATATTGAATTCAGAGGTTAATACTATAGAGTTCTTATAAAAAAATAGAGAGACATAATTGTTCAATTGTCTAGCCGAACACATAATGAAATAAACAATGTGAAATTGAAACACTTTGTTTTTCTATTAATCTAAATATTTTAAAGGTTTTTCATAAACATGGTAAGCATACTGAAGAAAAAAAACATATATATATATATATACATCTTTTTCTTATAGGCGTTAACTCGTCAATTGTATAAACATCAAGATGGTAATAGTACGAGTACAAGTAATTGGAACGCTAATCAAAATGCTCGACGTGAGCAAGAAGCTGATCGAATTTTACGTGAACGACAACTGGCACAAGATCGCATTGAAACAGAAATACAAAAATTTGAAGCTAAAGCAATAAATAAACGAAATATACGTGAACAAGCACGTATTGAACGTGATCGAACAATGGAAGAAGTTATTATTCGAGCACAATCTAAGAAAAACCTAGCAGTTGAAGCACGTAATCAAGAAGAACGTCTAGCTACAGAACTTGAAAGAATCAAACTTGAAAAAATACGTGATGAAAAAATGCGACAACAAATTCGGTATTTCAAAAGCAAAAAACAAAAAAGAAACATGCCATTTTTGCTTTTCTTTTTTAGTGAAACAAGTTATGAATTACGTGAATTAGAATCAAAATTACGTGCTGCTTATATTCAAAAAGAACGGACAGCACAAATGGCTGAAAAAGAAGCTTTAAAATTTGATTCATATTTAGAAGATGCCGAAATAGTACGACGTATACGTAATGAAACAGATAAAGTTGAACAAGATCGTCATCAACGTGAAATAATTCGACAACAAGAAATGATACGTTATAAACAAGAACTTGAACGACAACTTGAAGAAAAAGAATTAAATAAACAAAAAGCTTATGAAGAATTTCTACGAGAAAAATTAGTTATTGATGAAATTATTCGAAAGATTTATGAAGAAGATCAAATGTATGTATTTCTTTTTTTTTTTAGAATTTTATTTATTCTCTTCAAATTAAATAATCACAGATGAAATATAGATATTTGATTCTTATTTATTTCTATAGGGAAATGGAACGTAAATTAGAATGTCAACGTACTACTCGTGAATTTATTATTGAATTTAAACGTAAACGTGACGAATGGAAAGCTATAGAGCGTCAACGTATGGAAGAAGAAAATCATCGTATAAAAGAATATGCTAAAACTCAAGAACAACGAAAAGAAATAGTAAAAGCTAAAAAACGTTCTCAAGAACAAGCTTTAGATAAAGTTCAACATGCATTAGCTGAACAAATAAAACGTAATCGTGAAGAATGTGAAGAACAAGAATTAATACGACAAGAATTATATTTGGAAGAACAAGAACAAACTATACGAAGACGTGAACGTGATGAAATTGAAACACGTATAAGACAACGTCTTGAATTACAACGTGAACGTAATGAACAAATACAATTTAAACGTTTACGTGATATAGAAATTAAACAACACGAAGAAAAATTTCGACAACAAGTTAATAAAAAACAAACAATAGAAATTATTTACAATAAAAATTTTCTTTTTTTCTTATAGTTAATGACGAAATTTGCTGAAGATGATCGTATTGAACAAATGAATGCTCAAAAACGTCGTATGAAACAAATTGAACATAAAAAAGCTGTTGATGCTTTACTTGAAGAACGTCGATGTCAAATAGCAATTGATAAAGTTTGTATTGATAGAATTATTATTATTATTATTATTTTAATATTTATTTAGCAACGTGATATTGATGAACGTATTGAAGCTGAACGTATTGAACAAATTCGAAAACAAATTATTGAAGAAGAACGTATTAAATTACTTCGTGAACATGCATATCGTTTATTGGGATATTTACCAAAGGTATATATAGGAAAAAAAACCAGTGAGTAAAGAATATTTGTTTTTATTATTTCAGGGTGTTATTCGAGATGAAAAAGATCTTGATCATCTTGGAAATGATTTTAAAAATGAATTCAAACGACGACAAGTCAATATGCAATATCCTGGTGGATGGGATAATTTATAATCTCATTATATTTTTCATATGTATTTTCTCACTTTCGACAAAAATGTCAAATAAATATATATATATATATTCATTTATTTTATAATAACATACGTTATTGTAAGAAAAACAAAAAAATAATATCTTTCAAGACGATTGCTATTAGGTCTGATGACGAAACTCACTGAAGAATCGTCTCAAGAGATTCAAACTTTTATGCTAATATTTTGTCCGCAAGTAATATGTCTACTCAATGAACCTCTCTTAGCTCAATCTTGAAAGCAAAGAAAGACAGTATAGAACATTGACTCTTACATTACTAAATACGTTCTCAAGCAAAACCTTTTGCGTGAACATAATCATCAAGTAGTATTGAAATCTATTATCTTTACGATAGTTTATAGTTCTTCATTCTTCTACATATAAAATGCATCTATTTACACTAGTGCTGGGACTAATGCCTGGCAACAAATTTTCCCAATTCTTAAGGATATTGATTCAAAATGATGGTTATCATAAACTTTCATAAGAACGATCAACCCTTCTAAATATCAGTATATGATGGGATAAGTGATTCTTAAAGATTTCTAGGTGCGGCCATCGATTGATTGCCAGACAACAGATAAATAAGCTGTAGTGAACAAAAATTCAAATACGAGTTAATGTATGCTAAAAATAGTTATATATTGTAGTAGAAATCACTTCGCTTGATTAATCAGGAAATATATTTAATTGTTAATGATTCAATGATGGTCACATTCAGAAAAAAGCTTGTTAATGCAGCCTCTTTCGGACTGAAATGTGGAATTCACATGTCTTCTTTAGCTTCGTTATATTAATAAAAAATACTCAAAATATAAAATCTCTAAAATACGGTAGTTCTTTTCCAATGATAATTGATTATCAGTAAACGCTATAGCTTTTTTATTTCTCCATTTCGAACAGAAATTTTATTTTATTTTATTTTCATTTCATTTTCATAATTTATTATTATTAGTCTAGTCATTGATTTAATGGACAAATATGTCTGTTGAATATATTCGTTATATCTACGGCAAATCTTAAGGATTTATTATGTATCTCGATGAACTCAGAAATACTGATATTAATTATTTACAAAAGTTAGTATTTAATCAGTTCATTCTTTTCTATTGATCATATGATAGTTGTGGGAAATCAAAACATCATTCGTGATATCTAGAACCTTCTAAATCTTGTTATTAATGTCGTTCATCGCTTTTTATCTTCGCTGCTAAG